CTGAGGTTTTCTGATGACATCTCCCCAACTATTGGCTGTGTTTGTCCATGACTATTTTTTCTGAAGCTGGATGAAAAACAATTTTATGGCTACAAGTTTCAGGATATTTGTGTGCTGCCAGTGCTCACTTTTATGGCACCAAATAACTAAATATTATCTTTGAGGGACAAATGTAGTAGGAGAAAGAATGATTTCTCCCTATTAGATGTGGCTTTCCAAGCAGAGAATTACAATAATGCAAATACAGGAGGTAAAGGGCCCAAATAGACATAATAGAAATTAAAGGAATTGGAGCATGGTGTCCTCTCCAGAATGCCACGGCTCAGCTTCATTGTTTTGAATTTTTGTGACCTCTGAGATGTGACTGTCTCCAGAGAGGCTATGTCTGGAGCCTCACTGAAACTTCATGCTGGTCTTATCTTTTTAGGTGACCCACTACTTTCACCATCATCCACAAGCTCCTCACAGTTCAGAAGAGTTCTATTAAATTTTAAAACAGTGTCTTTTTTATGGCAGAGAGCTCCTTTTGCTAGATATCAGCCCTAGAGGCATGAATTATATATCTATAAATATACTCATAAAGCAAAAAAGCAGGGCAGCCTTCAGGGCTAAAATAGACCTTTTACATCCCTAGTGATCTCTCTAGTTTAAAGAAAAGCACAACCTTGTCAAAAAAGTGTACATATCCCTGATTTTAAAATGCTAACTTTAAGGAATACAGATAGTTCTTATGCAGACCAAAGAAAAATTCTGAGGATGGCCAAGGAAATTAGGATTTTGATGGATTCCAGTTTTTTCATAACCCAACATTTTATGACCTTAGGTTTATGGATTTTGTGGCTTTTGTAGTCATAGACATAGGGTTGGTCCCAAATCCATAGTCTCTGGACAGTGATAAATAATTATTGGTTGCTCCAACATTTCTGAGGGTAGTAGCTCTGAGTTACAGAAATAAACCCAAAATCTTAACTGATATAGACCAAGTCAATTCTATCAAGGATCAAATAGTGGGAAATGCATCTCCAACATCCACATCTCAAATGATGTGTAACTTTGGACCCTCAGGAAGGATTGGTCCCAGTCCCTTCTCCCATACAATATCTATGAGTATTCTACTTCTTATATCAAATGATATAGTAAGCCAGGTGTGGTGGTTCACCCTTGTTGTCCTAGCTACTCAAAAGGTTGGGGCAGATGAATCACTTAAATCCAGGATTTTGAGGCCAGCCTGGGCAACATAGTGAGATCCCCACTCAAAAACAACAATCAGGAAAAAAAAAAAAGAAGTACAAAGTCTTAGTGTTTGCATATAACTTTATATTTTAAATCTTCTCTAGATTTATCATAATACCTAACCCAAGACAAATGTTATACACATAGATATTATACCGTATCATTTAGGGAACAATGACAGAAAAAACGTGTGCATATTCAACACAAACACAAGTTTTCTATCTGCAGTTGCTTGACTCCTTGGATATGGAACACACATATACAGAGGGTTAATGGTATACTGTAATCACCTTAAATCTTAAAGATATTTTATATTAAAATTGATGATATACCCCAACTCATACAAAAGTCCCAGACACTTCTGATATTTTCTAAAATTTTCTAAAATTATCTAAAATTTTTCACCTAATTTCCTGTAAGTCTTAATTGTAGTAGTGATCTCTGTTTTCTTGGCAACTTCATTTTAAGTTAGTGGGACTCTTCCAGTTCCTTGAGAGGCCAAGAAAAGAAGTTTCTACAATTTCAGTGATTAAATATCTGCAAAATTTGGACTCAAATTTTCCCTACAAAGGACATCATTGATCATTTTTGTAACTGCTACCAGGATTAATAATAAAATGGCAGAGAAAACATTGGATCAGTAGTTTTGACAGATTTTATTATCTAAACTTAACAGCATACCTATTACCTTAGTTTTAAAATACATTCATCATTTCATTTTGGGGATCATCAACATTTTAGAAGTTGTCTGTGCTAGCCACTTCCAAAAACTCCTGTGTGCTTTCAGCCACCGTGCAGAGTGTGGCCTGAGCTCTGCTTTCAAGTCCACAGGATATGCCTCCTTGGGATGCTAAACGCGCAGGAAGTAGCCCACAGCAATGGAATAATTCAATTGTAGAATGACAAGTTCGTAGAGTTTGTAGATTTTAAACAACAAAGACACTGTCAAATTTTAACTAGGATTAAAAAGAGGGAAATCAAACAAACAGCATAAAAAGAAACAGACACATTTAAGACTCCAGTTGAGTGTTACAGATGGCACTAAAATTGCGAATGGATGCCACTCTGCCATCACAAAGATAGTGATCTTAATTTCACATAAAGGGACACTAGCTTCCTAGCCCACAGTTTGCATCTTTACCTAAATTGTGGGTGTCAGTTCTTTGCCTCCCAGCACATCCAGTATTCCTGGTTCCTTACTCCAGTTTCTTCTTTGCTTACTGTACTGGTGGGGGTACATCTGTCCTAGCCAGAGGAATAAATAATTCGATATTTATGGCAGGAAAGAATCCACATGCTAAACATTTGTTGTACTTAACTGAGGAAAAAAACAATCCTGCCTTGTTTTCTAACAGGAAGCAAAATCATTCCTAAGAAATCTCTAGAGAACCTCTAGAAAAATTGCATTGGCTTTTACTTCTCTGTCTCTTATCACTTAAACCTTGCCCTCTTCTATATTTCACATTAAATGTATCACCTGGTGACCCCCGCACCAGAAGAAAAAAAAAAATTTGTTCAGGGTTAGATTTAGGACTATTTTACCTTTAGGGAACTGTGCTCCGAATTCCTTTTATAAAAACTAGCAAAAGTGTGTAAATTATGCATTAACTAAGTCGCGAGGTATATGAATTATATATATTCCCAAAGTAAAAAATAGGCATGCTGGTCTAGTAAAGCAAGTCTGATTCTCTGGCAAATATGTAAAGATCATTTTGCTCAATAGTTTCAAACTCTAAGCACTAGAATAGAAGCTTGGGTTTAGGGCATAGGTCACAGACCATCCTGAAATTCTCAAGTAGGTCCTTGTTTTGTTTCCCCACGTAAAGTAAAATTATTGCATGGGCCATTCTGTTGTCCTTTCCTTTCAAAAGATTATTATGTATAATAATAATTGTTGTTGTTTTTGTTATTGTTACTATTATGTTCCAGTTCAATTTCTTTCAGATTAACAACGTTATTGGCTAGACAAGGAAGGAATAAAGGACTCAGACCTGTGTGGGGATGCAGTTCTCTTGAGCTTTGAAAGCACGCAGTAGCTTTCTTCTCTTGGCACACTGGAAACCTGGAAAACTGCACTACAGTAGTTTTAATTCTAATTGAGACACAGGAAATATTTCAAGATATAAGATGTAGAATGCTGAGTGGGAGAGTTCTAATTTGTGAGTCAGTCTTCCCAAGAATCCTAGACCACTCAAACCTTGTCCCTGAGATGTGACCGTAGAACTGTGCAGTCTGGAGCCACTGAAATCTGTCTGCATCACTGTAAATAAAGGAGACAACTCATCAACTGTCAGGTCTGTGAGATGTTCCCGACATTACATCTCAGGAAAGTTGTTAATGACCAGGGACAGGATATACAAGGGCACTATACCAGATTAGAGCATAAGTAGTTACCCCTCCCAGAACGCAATCTTCAGTAATATCATATTAACAGCTGAACTTCCTAATTAGAGAGAAAAACATACCATTCCTGGTAGACAATTTTTTAAATTATAATTCGAATAAAGTTTTCTGGAATAAACTCAGGGAAAGGATGTGAATTCTGACTTCTTGAGATTCTCTGCTTGGAAAACGACATTATAAAGAAAGGCAAAAGAGACCTTCATGATCTCGCTAACATAGATGAATCATCTTGGAGGGCCATCCCTTGTAGTATATTTTTGGTACCCATGACTTGCAAGGAACTGTGATTTAATTAACTATCCTGAACATTCTTTCCTGACTTAGTCTACATGTTTACAAGTATAATAATGAGAGCCTATGGGTGAGCCAATATGCTTTTGCCGCTGTAGTAAAGAATCACTGATTTGAAACCTCACTTTGCTAAGTCAACATTTCTGAATCTTTAAGTAAGTTTCCAACAAGTTATGGGCATCTAGACGGGGAATTTTTGAAATCTAGCTTCCAGCTTAGCATATATTGCTTATGGCATAAAAACAGTGCATAAACAGGTATTAGACTAATACAAGGCAAGATGTCATTTAATAATCAGGAGAATTCTAGAAAGATATAATCAAAAGGAATTTAATAGATGAACTTTTTAACATTTTGTAAGTCTGCCACTTTTTTTTCAAACCCTGGCACTTAGCTTATAACAATTCAGAACTGCAACTAAGAATTCAAGATATTAATATTCCCTTAACTTACATATATACTAAATTTTGTGTGTTCCTTATCTAATTAAAAAGAAGTGTGCAAAAAAAGTAATTACTTAAGAAAGCAATAAAGGCACGATCTCTTATTTACCTTGATCTTGGTCTCAGTAATATGGAGAATATGTCATTTTTATCCTCATGAGAGCAAATAAATAAAAACACAAGAAGATAAATAGAGAAAAGTTATAAGTACATTCATAAATCCTTAAGTAGAGCATGTGTTGTGTGTGGACACTTCCCCTTCACACAGACTTGTGATAGATAGTCAGTATTTGTAACCATGCAGTTGATTGAGTCATCATCTCATAAGCAGATCCTGGACACGGTATACAGTATTTGAATTCTAAATAATTACTTGAGAGTATCTTTCAATCTAATCCCCCGGTCTGAGGATTTCAGCTTTGAGTGGGCAGAGGCATCAACTGGTCTCTACATCAGCTAGAATGATTAGACTACACCCAGAAATGACCCATGTGTGGATCCAGGTCATTTTATTATAATGTCAGAGGCAAAGCTTATGAAGTGCACTGAATTGTGTTATGCACTGAATTGTGTTAAAAATTACATCTGCACGGATACTAATTCTGTTTTTCTCTTTCTTTTCAATCCCAGGAGGTGAACTAGTTATCCCTCTTCTTGTAGAAGACCCTTTAGCTACCCCTCCTATTGCTACTCGTGCACCTTCCATTACACTTCCCCCTACCTTCCGCCCCCTCCTCACCATTATTGAGACCACCAAAGATTCCCTGTCCATGACCTCTGAGGCGGGGTTACCTTGCTTGTCGGACCAAGGCAGCGATGGTTGTGATGATGATGGCTTGGTGATATCTGGGTATGGCTCAGGGGAAACCTTTGACTCTAACCTGCCCCCTACTGATGATGAAGATTTTTACACCACCTTCTCCTTGGTAACAGATAAGAGTCTTTCCACTTCAATCTTCGAAGGTGGCTACAAAGCACATGCGCCCAAGTGGGAATCCAAGGACTTTAGACCTAACAAAGTCTCCGAAACTAGTAGGACTACTACCACATCTTTGTCCCCTGAGCTGATCCGCTTCACAGCTTCCTCCTCGTCCGGGATGGTGCCCAAATTGCCAGCTGGCAAAATGAATAACCGTGATCTCAAACCCCAGCCTGATCTAGTCTTGCTTCCGTTGCCCACTGCCTATGAGCTAGACAGCACCAAACTGAAGAGCCCACTAATTACTTCCCCCATGTTCCGTAATGTGCCCACAGCAAACCCCACGGAGCCGGGAATCAGACGGGTTCCGGGGGCCTCAGAGGTGATCCGGGAGTCGAGCAGTACAACAGGGATGGTCGTCGGCATTGTGGCTGCTGCCGCCCTCTGCATCTTGATCCTCCTGTACGCCATGTACAAGTACAGGAACAGAGAAGAGGGGTCCTATCAAGTGGACGAGACGCGGAACTACATCAGCAACTCGGCCCAGAGCAACGGCACGCTGCTCAAGGAGAAGCAGCCGAGCTCCAAGAGCGGCCACAAGAAGCAGAAAAACAAGGACAAGGAGTACTACGTGTAGCCCTGGTGACGCTCAGACCGCGTTCTTTCTCTGTGCAAACGCGGATGCTTTGACGCTGAGATCTCACCAACGTCAGAACTGTTCTTGCAGCGAGACGGGGTATATACCATGACTCTGGTGGGGAAAACCATTTTTAAAAGGACACTCACACAGAAGCACCTATCAATAAAGTTCAGCCGTGGCTCCCCTGTGCAGCCAGGGCTCGGAGACAGAAAGTTCTTTTCTGCAGTGCTGTACCATAAAGCACACACTAGAGCCCTGCAGAGAGCTCACGGCTCCACGCTTCCGTGGACTTCACGCTTCCTTCTCTGGAGGACAAAAGGTAGAAGAAGACTTCACGGCTTACTTGTCCCATAACTCCAAGTGAGTCTGTAATGTCCTTGCAGCTTGACTGTAACAATGTATTTTTTTCCTCAGTTTCATTATGTAAAAAGCAAAAACATAAAAAAGAGAAAAGTTTAAAAAAAAAAACTAGAAAACAAAAAACAAACAAACAAAAAAATAACCCACTCGTATCTGGTTCTGGCCAGTGTGTGTATGTAACTTTTCAAGATCTGAGGGGAAAAATGGCTTTTGGGTTTTTGTTTATTTTTTTGAGACTGGATATAAGTTAAGAAAAAGAGAAAAAAATATAAACTCAGAAAACAAAAAAGTAAGAGACAATTGCCATATGAACTCAAAAGCTACCATGGTGTTCACTTTACATATCAGGTTGTGGTGTCTCTAAAATCTGTTGTTTGTTTCTTGTAAGATGATGTGCTGAACATATAGCAGAACCCATGTGATGGATGATAACACTGATCCAAAAAGCTGGCCCCCCAGGATCTAATTCCAGAATTTCCCAGCCAAGCCCTGCACAGATGGGCTTAGGGCTGGTTTGATCAGAGCTATTGGCTTTACTTGACAATATTGTTCCTGTCCATTTACCCAAATTGTGTTAAAGGGGAAAGCCCCACAAATGAAAACAAAACCTTTCCTAGGGAAGGGAAGGGAAGGGGGTGGGCTGGATCCGTAATTGAAATGCATGCAAATAAAAAAGAAATGACAATGCTAAAGTCTGTCGAATAATCAAAACAGACAGTAGGGGAGTTCAACTAGCGATGGAACCACAAAAGGTCACACAAGCCAAACATGTACTGACCAACTGCATAGTTCTTTCCCTGCCCCCATATGATAATGGTTTTCATAGTGGTTTAATTTTGTAACCTGACTCAGATAATTCTGTCCTTCCACGTGCTCATGTGTCCCTTCGCCCATCTTTAAAAAAGAAAAAAAATAAATGAATAAAGCTGCTGTGACACACAAAAAAGGAATTTAATAGTATAATATATATAAATAAATATATATACAGATATATTTATCACGGTATGTTTGATGGGATGACTGACACAGAAATCTGTTAAAGTCTTGAAGTGGAATGAGAATGTTATTTTAAAAGAAAATAACAAAACAACAAAAAAGTAAACCTTAAAATGTGAAGAAAGCGTGAGTTTTAGTTTTGTCACAGTTAACTGTGTTGAAGAGAATTTAAAAAAAAAAAATCTCAGATTTTGTTTACATATTTTACTACATTTTTGCTGGTATAATTCCTTAGCCACCTATGTACATACTGCTTTAAGAACTGTTTTTCGCTTTCCACTTGTTTATTTTAGTTTCTTTGGATTATATTCCAGTTGTCTCTTTATTTTCTTTTTGTAAAGAGGAAACAATGTACAGAAAAATAATAGACTGGTTGTATGGCCATAGCTATTCAAAAAGCAAGAGACAAAGCAAGACAAATATTCACTCAAAAATGGAGTGTGTTTTTTGGACGGTCAGATATATACACTTTTGTACAGATGAAAACCAATCAGCTATTTAGATTTAGAAATCTACTCTTGCTGGTCTTTGTAAGTTGCATGAATATTTGACTTTGAAAAAATATCTTACAGACATGGGGCAAAAAGCGCAAATTCAACAATGGTAGCCTTTACTAACGTGTACGGAAAGAAGTGTTCCTCCTTATTTTCAATGTGTTATGAGTTTTTTATATTTCCTTCTGTTGTCATTAAAAAAGACAGGACTATAAAAAGATATCAAAGCACGATTTTAGATAAATGGCCCAGCCTATATGAAGTTGATTATATCTTGATGTCTGTAAAAGATTACTGTTCTTGGAGTCTTGAGGTCTCGTGAACTGATTTCCTGCTTTCTTTCCTTACATTTTCTTTATTTGAGTAAAAGTAGATATTTGTTATATTCCTTTCAGTGTAAGTTTCTATTTGGACAATTTTATGGAAACATGTGCATTCTGTATGTGAGCTTTTATCATATTCCTATTGTTTTAATTAGCAGATCTTAAAGGAGTTTATTTTATGATGTTGTGATGTTACTGCTTTTTCTTTTTCCTTTTCTCTTTTGTTTCATATTTGCATTTTAGTTCAAGGATATGCTTAGCAATAAAATGTTCTTCCCAAAACCTTGTATTATGATGCAATTTTATTTTCTTAACATTTGGGAAAATGTTTTGCACTGCAAGTAAATTTGTCTTATCTTACTAAGTACCCCGTGAGCTAGGATCATTTTCACGTGATATAAATTTTTCCAACCAGTTACTAACTACCTACATAAGCTTATGAAAAGTGGCATATTTAAGAGATAAATAATTCTTAACTGTTGACTGAGGCATTGACATTTAGGTTACTATGACAGAGTAACCAGGAGGAAAAGCAATTTTCTCAGAAAGATAAGATGACAGGAGCATGGTATTCTGGGTACTGTCATTTTAAAAGTGTTTTTTACCTGAAGTATATTTTGTAAGGCAACAAATTTTGAAAGTATTCTAGAACTGTGTTCATATAGAGCATTAAACACAGAGAGTTAGGTGTCTTTTCAGGACTTCTCAACATATTAAAGTTAAAAAGTTAGAAAACAATACCCACTGTATTCTGAAATAGAGCTTGATTTAGTGTTTGGATAGTAACAGTTTCTTTCTGGAGTTTCTGATTATAAAATTCTTTTTTTTTTTTTTTTTTTTTGTTTTTTCTCCAGTACCGGGAACCGAACTCACGACCTTGCGCTTGCCAGGCAGGCGCTTTTGCCGCTGAGCTAAATTCCCAGCCCCTGATTATAAAATTCTTCAGACACTTATTATAGCTTATACTTTATCTGTGGATCCTTAAGCACAAACTTACTGTGCCAGCTGGGTAATCTGACACCCTGTTTTTCACCACGATCCAGAAAGATGGCCTTAACTAAATAGTTGTCTTATGTATGTGTGTTGGTTGCCAATTTTCAGAGTCAGAATTTTTAAAGGATAGAATTAACCCTTGAATTCAGATTTTATTAGTGCAATGGTTATGCTGCTGACTGTCTTGGGAATGAGAAAAAACCAGGCTCAGTGATATCAAATGATGGGAAGTTCTTTTTTTTAATTTCTTGCCATAGATAATTCACATAAAATAGGAAAAATCTATTGATGTCCATGGTGATACTGTGTTCTTTAGAGCTCCATAGTCTGATTAATCCCTGAATAGTAGAGAGTATTGTCTTCATTTGAAAGATGAGGAAACAAAGATATAAAGATCTTAAGCAATCCAATCTTATACAAGTTAGACCTTGCTGAAATGTGAGCTAAGGAGTGTCATGGGAAGTGGGATACTAAGCTCAAACGAAGCTGGGCTGGTTTCCCAGCTGGAGTACTGTTGGTATTAGGTAAATTTTCCTATCTGAGATTGTCATTTTTTTTCTGGAAAAAAAAAGAAAGCATTACAACTCCATGACTTAGCTTTGCAGGTAGTTTTGAGGAAAAAAGACTAATATGAAAATGTCCTTAACTTTGTTTGACTAAGAGTAGATATTTAAAAATGTTAGTCTCTTTTTTGTTTTTATTTGGAGTCCCCATGCTATTCCCTATGTAATAGCTTATTACCAGAGTTAGAAATTCTACATTAAATTCTACACTAAAAGGCTAGCAATGGCTAAGCAATATAGCCATGTAATATTCAGAGTTTAATAGTTGTAACTGACAAAACTAGTCTTTTTCTAGACATATACTTTGATTAAATAAATATAACTAGTAAACACATACTATTGATGTTTGGTAAAATAAGAGTGTCTGACACCACATTTTAAGTAAGTGGCTATAAATTGAGATAAATAATTGTGATTAGATTTTAGAAAATGTTAAACTTTCCAGAGAGATTTTTCAGAAAATACTAACACAAAAGGGTCCATCCAGATTGAAGTGGCATTTGCTTAGATACAGTGGTCAAAGTACATCAACAAATAATTTCTCATTGTCTTTCCTTAAGGAAGTGTTGAGATCATACCATCCCTTTCCCACATATTTAAATTTGGTGACAGGTTTTAGAGTAGAAAGGCTTAGTTGAAATGTTGGCTTTCAAGTCCTGGGCCAAAATTTCTATTAAAAAGTACAAGAAAGATAAATGGTGGAGATCAGCAAAGCAATTGTTTTACTGTCACCTAAAATCACATTTTACTCTACTATAATTGAAATCACATCTATTTATTAACCCTTGAGGCTTTTCTGATTCTTCCACCAGAAATGTGCATAGGCCCATTTACTTTTAGTGCTGGGGATGTGTCTGAGTGGTAGAGTGCTTTCCAGGCATGTGTGAGGCCACAGATTCATACCCATGTGTATTCCATCTACCATACACTTTCCCCACATAAACTATTCAATACATAGGACCTATAAGAATGGTTCAAATGGTAGTCTACTCTGTGCCTCAAAGAGCAGTCCTCTCTCTTTCCCAAGTTATAGAACCATCACTGCCTTAGAGATCCCTTCCAATTCTATCTTGCTTCCTCCAAAAAAACTTTCTAAATCTACTTAATATGTAATTCAACCATCACCTTAAACATTCACCCTTTTGATAATTGCTAAAACCCCAGATGAACACATACATATGTGCTGGCCAAACCACTGTTGTCTATACTTACTATAGTTCATCAAGACAGAGAATGGCTATTAGGACTTTAAGCCTGCTTTAACTCTTATGTAGATCCGTACAAGCCAAGACACTTACACATATTTAAGATGCAACTGGAGCCTTCTCCAAAAATTTCCAGACCCTGTATTTGTCTCAGTAGAACTGAAATTTTGGAGATCAGTCTGATAATTAATGCAATTATTTAACATTTATAAAATAATTACTGAAATTTAAATTGAGAGCCTCTAACAAGCTTAAAACATAGGAAATAGCTGTCAAAACATACAAAATAAGTTCAGAGCTTTGTAAAGGGATGATATGTTAGAAAAACCTTCAAAATTGATAGGTAGAGATTAAAGCTGTATGCCATTCCATGCAAAACATTGATGTATGATCAAAATCAGAACTGGGATGAATCCTATATTATAAAAAGTGTATTTGTAGAAGATACAACCAGGAAAATTTGGGGAATCTTGTCCAGGAAAGGACAGAGTGACAGGAAGATGTATTAAGTTTTCAAGGTCAACAGCTAGTTTATCGTTGACTGAAGAGGACATGAGTGTGTTGGAAAAAGGCAATCACTGCTCTGTTCTCAGCAAATGTGAAAGATGAGTGGAGGAACTGAAATTCCAGGTAGAGGTGTTCCTTTGTAGCACACAGAAGATGATGTCCTGGTACAGAAACAAACACACAAACAAAAAAGCAGGACCAGAAACTGACATATTGCCATTCACACAATCGAAGTCGAGAAAGTGATAGAGGGAGAGCCTCACTGTTCAATCAAGTTAAGGGACAAGACTACCTAGAAATAGTGCTATGACCTCATGCCAGAAGTTGGCTGAAAAAATTGTGATGACAGGAACTCAAGTATCAGTAAGGGACACCTGATATTGTCTGACATTAATAGTAAAGCCTTGTATTTTCATTATATTTTCTTATTTATTGTGAAATAGTGAGGGCAGATGTTTTCCTGATTGTATATCTTACAAAAAAGAAAAAACAAAAAAAAAACAGATTTAAAGAACATGACTTCTCCAAGGGCACCTAGCTGATAAGTAGCAGAGTCATCATTTGAAATCCAATCTTGTATTTCTTAATTTAGAACACTTTCAATTATATAATATTTTCTCCAGAGAAGCAAGCCATTTTTGGCGATCTCCAGAAGCATTTGAATTGGAAAGGAAGGAATGGGACAATAGGATGTTCTATTCATCTGTTAGGATGGCTGTAATAAAATACGACAGTTTAGGTGGCTTAGAAAACAAATCTCTTGCGGTCTTGAAAGCAGGAAGATCCAGGTCAAGGTCATTTGCATTTCTGATGAGGATTCTCTTCTTGGTTTATAAACAGCTGGCTTCTTCCTGTTTGTCCAAGTGGCCTTTTTTTCAGTGAATGTGCTAAGAAAGAGGATTTTCTGTATCTTCTCTCCTTATAAGGCCACCAATCCTACTGGATAGTGCCTCATCCTGATGACTTCATTTAACCTTAATTACCTCCTGAAGATCCTTTCTCCAAATATAATCACATTTGGAGTTAGGACTTCAACAAATGAACTTGTGGTATGCGTTTGTGATGGTGGTGGTATGTGGGAGTCTCACCAGGGGCACTGTTCAGTCCATGGCAGGTGTGCATGGCGTTCTGCATAGGCAAAGTGAACATTTCAAAAGATCGGTGGAGTCAAGGAATCCAGAAGAAATTCTAACATTGTTGAGGTGGTTACGTGGGCTGAGTAGAAAAGCAAATAAATCCATGAGAGGCTAAATCATGAGGTAGTAGGAGCCTATGAGTAGGCCAGGGAGACAGTTTAAGGTTGTGCAGTAGTGAGGCCACATAAATCAGGAATAGTCAAGGCACCCATATTCAGACCTTAGTGATGTATTAAATGAGCAATGTGAATTTCAAGAAACCTTGAAGTCTTTAGTGACTAGGAATATGGGTTGTCAAATCAGAAAGGATGGCTGACAGTTTGGGCAATAACTTTAGAAAATTTACTTGCCTCACCTACGAGTCACTTTTCATACGTATAATTATATTATACTAGCTTTGTAGGTTTATTAGGAAAGATTAAGTGAAATACTGCATGTAACATGGTACATGCATGTGAAACACAAACTTTAATAAATGTGGGCCATTACCACAACTTGGCATTCTTAACTGACTGAGGAAGTCTCAAAATTAGCTGCTGCATCTATGTGTAGGTCTAGCCAGTAGCTTTGTAATCACTGTGCATGTTTCTCTAATTCTTTCATTTGCTAAGAAAATATAAAATTCAGTTGTCCCTCATTGCAATGTTTTCCTTTAAGTGCTGCTAGTTCTCTCTTTTTAGGCTCCAGCTTGGCCAAGGCCCAGGGCCACCTCCATTCTGAGCTGCCCATGCCTTTCCCGGATTTCCAGCACTCAGCTTCCTATGGCAGCTGCTCTGCCAAATACTAAACAATGCAAGAGGCCTTCCGGCAACTTGCACTTCTTTATCCATATATATTATTTTGATTTTGTTTTTAACTTGATGTTTTATTTTATTTTA